CTCGGATAACGATTTGCGTAGTCCGTTAATGTCACGCCAGACCACGAGCATGGACAAGGACATGATTCCTCATCCTACAAGCGGAAGCACACTCAGCATGAGACGGCACAGCACGCTTACGCAAGGAAACGGTGAAAGCAGCATGGGGATTGGTGGTGGTTGGCATATGGGATATAGAAATGACAATGGCGAATACAAAAGGTATTACCTTAAAGAAGATGGTGCTGAATCTCGCCGTGGTTCGATCATTTCTCTTCCTGGCGGTCATGATGGTGGAGGCAGCTACATTCACGCTTCCGCCCTTGTAAGCAGATCCATTCTCGGTCCTAAATCGCGCCATGGATCTACCGTGGTTCCCCCAGAGAAAATTGCTACCGCTGGACCACTCTGGTCTGCTCTTCTTGAACCCGGTGTCAAGCGTGCGTTGGTCGTTGGTGTCGGCATTCAGATACTACAGCAGGTAAAATGAAACTTATGATTGTTCACACACTAGTTTACATAAATGCTCTTCGACTTACCTTTGTCGGATCATATCGATCTTTTAACCATTATGAGCCTTTTGTTAAACTTCTTTGCAGTTTGCGGGTATCAATGGAGTTCTGTACTACACTCCTCAGATTCTCGAACGTGCTGGCGTAGACGTTCTACTTTCGAGCTTCGGACTAAGTTCCATCTCCGCGTCATTCCTCATCAGCGGATTAACAACTTTACTCATGCTCCCAGCCATTGTGGTTGCCATGAGACTCATGGATGTCTCCGGAAGAAGGTATTTATCAAAACGTATAAGATCTTTTTTACATGATTCCTTGTTTTCTCATGATTCTGAATTCATCTTTTGTTTTTTCTTTGCAGGGCATTACTTCTGTGGACAATCCCTGTTCTCGTGGTCTCACTTGTCGCCCTCGTCATCAGCGAGCTCGTCCACATCAGCAAAGTCGTAAACGCAGCGATTTCCACAGTCTGCGTTGTGCTTTACTTCTGCTTCTTCGTGATGGGTTACGGTCCCATTCCAAACATCCTCTGTTCTGAAATCTTCCCAACAAGAGTCCGTGGTCTCTGCATCGCCATTTGCGCCATGGTTTTCTGGATCGGAGACATCATTGTCACTTACTCGCTCCCTGTTCTCCTTAGCTCGATCGGGCTCGTTGGTGTTTTCAGCATTTACGCCGCGGTTTGCGTTATCTCATGGTTTTTCGTTTACTTGAAAGTCCCTGAGACTAAAGGTATGCCATTGGAGGTTATCACAGACTACTTTGCCTTTGG